CCAAGCACTTCCAGGACGTGATGGCGCGCAGTTGGCGCCAGTTCTTCAGCTCGTGGTACAAGTATTTCTTCAATTTACCACTACTTCCGGAACTGGTGTTACTGTCCAACGACTTGAGTCTGTTGGAAGAGTTCATGAAGTCGGCCGACGGGCACGCCATGTGTACCGCGGAGGACGTGGAGGCCTATAAATACGTGTTCTCAAAGTATAATAGCCTCACGTGTCCACTCAATTACTACAGGGCTGTGATTAGGAAGTACCGGTGCGAACTGCCCCGTAGTTATCATATCAAAGTACCGGCGCTCGTTATTTGGGGTCAGTTTTGGTGTTTTGTTTGTTTGGTAATTGAGTTGAGATTTTAATTTATGGTTTATTTTGTTAGGCAAACGTGATATAGCATTAGTGCCACAATTAGCCGAAGTGCACCGGTATGTGGACGACCTGACGGTCCAGTACATCGAGAATTGTTCCCATTGGACACAACAGGATCAGCCGGTGCTCGTCAATCAATATATGAGAGATTACTTAACGAGAGATTGAGTTTAAAACTTAATTAATTGATATGATTTTATAGCAATCAAATATAAGTGCAAATAATATTATATTTTTTTATTGTATTTTATATTTAAGTGACAGTTAATATTTTTAAATAAACTTATTTTTATATTTAATTAAATTGATTGAGTGTATAAAAATTTTATTTTGACTATAATTCAGTAACTTTTAGACGATTTATTTTTATAAATATTCATTAAGTAAAAACATAATTAAAATATACAATTGAAAGATTCTTACAAGTTATAAATAATATTTAATCTTTTGAATTACCGCATAAAATATAAAATTTAATTATAAACAATACTGTATTGTATTATTTTATAATCGTATTAATACAAAACCTTAAACACATGAATGAGATTATTGTACACAATCAACACCAGTATAATACAAAACAAGTAATAACTTATTAATTATGATCTCAATTGACATTTTATAATGAGATCCCCTTTGGTGAGCACATTCTTGTGGTCCGGAAGCCCTAAACCAACTTTCCTGATACACAACTCGCTATTAGCGTACAATTCATTGACCTGCTGTCTGTCCAACGTTATGGTGAACCACCGGCGCTGTCTGTCCTCCAGAGTTGGCACAGATATCGGAGAATAAATATAATCTTCCTTACGACTCAATTGGACGGTGTATATGATTTGAATGCCGTCCCGTTTGAACTGTTTGTCCGCTTTGTCTCTAATGACAAACACAATGTCTTCGGCAACCCATGAGGGGTCGTACAGACGCTCGTCGCCGTGCTTTGGAAACGTGATTCTGGTGCCAGACTGCCAGCCCTTACGGACATCGATGGTCACCGTCTGAAACATTTTGCGGTATTGTTTGGGAGAGAACCACACCTTACGAGCGATTTTCATGTGTCGTCTCCAGCCGTGGAGGACTTCTTTGAGCGATACGTACAGCGAGTGCTCAACATGTTTACCACGACTATCACCGGAACTGGTCTTTTGATTACCACTGGAACTGGTGTTTTGTTGGGAGGTGTGTGTGGATTGTATGCGATTACAATAAATTATACACACAATTAACACATTGTTACACGCGATAAACACATATTAATATAGTAGTAGTTTACCAATTAATTCATGACTTTTATATTGTCGTAAAATTATTATAACTAATCACTGATTTATTAAATCTCATATATTTACAGAAATATTTACTGAAAATAAGTTTATATGCGAAACAACGCAATGTTAACTTAAATAATAAATTAATATATATTAATTCAAATTATCAAAACATAAATTGGGATTATTTTACACAATAAACACAAATATAATACAAAAATCACTTATGATCTCAATTGACATCTTATAACGAGATCACCTCTGGTGAGCACATTGTTGGGAACGGGAAGTCCTAAACCAACTTTCCTGATATACACCTCAGTGTTAGCGTACAACTCCATGAGCTGCTGTCTGTCTAACTGCACGTTAAGCGACCGGTCCTCCAGAGTAGGCACTTGTATACCACTATTATCTATGGCTTCCTTAAGACTCAATCGGACGGTGTATACGATATGAATGCCTTCCCGTTTGAACTGTTTGTCCGCTTTGTCTCTAATGACAAACACAATGTCTTCGGCGACCGCTGAGGGGTCGTACAGACGTTGGGTCCCGTGCTCTGCGAACGTGATTCTGGTGCCCGACTTCCAGCCCTTGCGGACATCGATGGTCACTGTCTGTCGCTCTTTGCGGTACTCTTTGGGAGAGAACCACACCTTCCGAGTGATTCGCATCCGACGACTACATCCGTGGAGAACCTCTTTGAGCGATACGTACAGCGAGTGCTCAACACTTTTATTACGATGACTATCACCGGCACTGGTCTTTCGGTGACCGGACTTTGATGGCGATGGCTGTCGTCGGCGATGGTGTCGACGACTGGTCTCATATCCCGAAGACTGTTGTCGCGACTGAAATGTGCGGTGAGTTTGCGAGCGATTGGAGTTGTGGTCATAAATACCTCGTTTGTGGGGATCGTTGAGCACCCGATAGGCCTCGAGAACCTCTTTGAAGGTGTCTTCAGCACTGGTCGACCCGTTTTTGTCCGGATGGTAGCGAAGG